TACCTTACCAAAAGCATTCTAGAACCCTAAACCCTAAACCCTCTAAACCCTCTAAACCCTAAACCCTAAACCCCCTAGACCCTCTAAACCCTAAACCCTAAACCCCCTAAACCCTCTAAACCCTCTAAACCCTCTAAACCCTCTAAACCCTCTAAACCCTCTAAAACCCCCTAAACCCTCTAAACCCTCTAAACCCTAAACCCTCTAAACCCTCTAAACCCTCTACCCTCTAAACCCTAAACCCTAAACCCTAAACCCCAAAACACCCTAAACCCTGAAAACCCTGTAAAACCCTGAGTCCTCCTTAAGCCTCCGGATCTCCTTCGGCGCGCTTTTGCGACGGGGCTCGCGGGGGCCCAGGAGTTCGTTCGAGTCTTTTTGGGGGGTTCCTTAAGGAGATCTATAGGGTTCCTTAAAGGGGCTTAGGGTTCTCAAGGGTTGAGGGTTTAGTTAGGGTTTTTTGGGGTTTAATTAGGGCTTAGGGTTTGTATTTGGGGGCTCGTGATCTTCGGACCCTTGGGGGGTTTAATGTAGGCGCCTAAATAAATAATTACCTATACTATGTTGGGGACTCCTTAGTATAGGTATGGTATAAGATAGCCCAAAACCCTATTCCAACTATTAAGGCCCCTATATTCGGGTTAGGGTTTGGAGTTTCAAGGTTTAGGGTTTCGGGGCAACGCTGGAAAATACCATAAGATCTTGTTCAAGCCCTTCTGAAACCCCTTCAACGTAAAGAAGCTTTCCAGAACCCCTATTGCTATTAGAGAGGGCCTTAATTGTTAGAGCAGGGTTGCGGGGTTTATTATCGTATGACTACAATGACGGAATCCCTAAGGAATAGTATTGGTCATTTTTATTACAACCCCTCTAATATCCTATCTTATCCGTTCTTAGCCTCTATCATTGGGTTCGTTGGGCCCTTTCGGTTTCGGCTCACCAGGAGGCCACGGAGAAGAACGGCTCAAGGTTTAAGGGGTCAGGGTTCCTTCAAAACCCCTAGACCCTAAACCCTAACCCCAAACCCTAAACCTTAAGAACCCTAGACCCTAAGCCCAAACCCTAAACCCTAAACCTTAAGAACCCTAGACCCTAAGCCCAAACCCTAAACCCTAAACCTTAAGAACCCTAGACCCTAAACCCTAACCCTAAACCCTTAGGATTCTACAAGGGCTTTGGTGCTCCGTGGGGTTTAGGGTTTCCCATAGGCTCCTAAGTAGCTCCTTGTTATATTTAGAATCCTACAAGGTAATCCCAAAAAGGAACCACTTCGGGGCCTATGGGTTAGGCCCAGTTTAAGGCTTAGGGACTCTACTCTGAGGGTTTAGGGTGGGGCACCCTGAAAGCTAGGACTCTCTGAGCCCCCGAAGAGACCCAAGGGCTCACCTCAAGAGGCTCCGAACCCTCCCAAGCAGATACGGCTGATGATAAAAATCCTTAGCATTACCTTAAGGACCCTAGACTATGGGAGTTCTGGCATTATATTCCTTATAATGGGTAATGCAGGGTTTGTATCATCAACAGTACCAAGACTCATTGGGTAGGGTTTGGAGTCTAGGGGTTGCGTTCTCCTGCATGGGAAGGGAGCTCTTCTCAACACTCCTACACATCCCTGGTTTAGGGTTAAGGGTCTACCTGGACCCCAAGAAACCTGCCATTTTTTGCAGTCGGGAAACGATCATAATTCTAACTAAACCCATGGACCCTCAACCCCAAACCTTGGATGAATTCTAGAACCCAGTCAGGACCTCAAACGGGAGTTTCCACACATTAGGGGTACATAGGGTACCTTATTTGGGGGTCCTTATGATAAGGACCCTACTACTTAGGGTGCTATATTAGGGTCCCCTATTTTCGGAAAATCCGCATACAAGCAATGTCCATACAGAGCCCCATACAACAGAGCTATTGATACCTGCTGAAGCAACTTCACAAAACATACCAACAGACCTGGATCAACTCCCTGGTCAACACACTGAACTCTTGGAGCCCTAGCAAAAACACCTAAACCCTGACGTCCCATCCTCGTCTTTCTCAGCCTGCACCGAGTAGGATCAAGTTCGGAGTGGCTTCAGGACTTGCTCCCAGAAATGGAAAAGAAGAGGAGGTGACAGGAAAAGGGAGCGGGGGTGGGGTTCCCAAGATTAGGGGCTCTAGTATCGCAAAAATTTTATTCCTCATTGAGCTTAAGTGCCCATGAACATGTAAAATGCCACCCAACTATGACAAAGATAAACTATGTTAAAGTTGAGTAGACCTACTTTAATGAACTGCCCCCTACTTGAACAGCTCCTTCGGGTAACTCAAGGTCAGCTTAGGCGCTGCATTGAGGCTCTGAGACTCCAATATGGGTAGCTCTCTAGATTCGGGTTTAGGGCTTGGGTTTAGAGTCTTAGGATTTAAGGGCAATTGGGGTCCCTGGTCCCCAACAAAGTACGGTACCCTACAAAACAGGGACCCCAAAAGGGACCCTAAAGGGAGCTACCCATATGGCTACACGATACCTACTCCACCACCCAATCTAAAAATGTGCCTGAGCCAAGAAAAACCAATAGATGCCTCGAGACTTACCAAGACTGCTCCGTATGGCTTATAGTATATAAACATACCACAATATGACCCCCAAAGCCTGCCCTTGACTAGAACCCTAGAATAGCTTGATTATCAAGCCCTTTGGATAGAGCCCTTTAGAGGAACCCGAAACCCTGAGTAACTTTTAAGGCTTCGAAAGTGCCGCCTCTGCGGCGCTTTGTGTCGCCTTCCTCTCTTCCTCAAACTTCTCTTTGGCCTGCGTGGAGAAAGTTGGCAGCCTACAGCCTACATCCGTCGCATCGTGTCTGGCCGCTCAGCCTTACAGTTCGCTTTTTTAAGGTCACCATGCTGATCATCATACCGGTCATCGAAATGATCATGTTCAATGTCATGGCCAGCACGATGATCACCCAAGATTGAGCACATTTTGAACGCACAACACCCGCAGTTGTTGTAAGGTTTTATCTTTGAAGGGTGTTGTTGCTGCTTCAGCAGAATTCAACACAATGGTTGTGTAGCGCTGGGGGAGAAGAAATCTTTCAGCAAACTTTAAGACTCTACGTGACGAGACTTGAAGCAAGAAGACTTGTTGCAATGCAGAACCTGCCGGAAATCCGAAAACCCCTATATATCTGAACTCGATCTAAACCTGACGAACCTGAAAAAGCCGGATACTGTAAACAGACATTGAACATGAGCAGAAGCAAGCGAATGCTTCTGTGCAGACACCAGCGGCATGTTGAAATCGGATCTGATGTTTCAGGGGGGAAGTGCGGACACCCTCGCAAATGCGCCGGCCAGTGTGACGTCTCAATAACCCTAAGGGTCCACGTGGTCATAAAGTGTATACTTTGGCATTAAAGTACTCCCTATGAAGATACTCTGGGTTGAAGTCTACCCTAGATGTGCACATGAATCCTTACAGCAACAATCAATCACAATCAATTGCATTACGGATGTCCTCACCCTCCAAATCCAAAATCCTTTAGTTCATATTCAGGACCCTGTGATAATTCAATTTTTAAGGGTCTTTTGGAAGGTCTGGGCCCACAGCACTGGCCTCCTTGTCAATCTGCGCACACATCGCGAGCTGCTGGGGGCCACAGTAGTACATGTAGATCGGGATGGTGCAAAGAATGAAGATGGCCGAAAGCGCATACCTCGGCTCTGGAGTGGGACTATTGGGCGGGGGAGAGAGAGAGAGAGAGAGAGAGAGAGAGAGAGAGGGAGTTAAAGTGTAGCTTCTCTGTCTCTGCCTGTCTGTTTCTCTCGCTGGAGGTACCATGACCACAAAGCGGAATCCAAGGCCTGCACCTGTTTGGATTTTGCGGTGCAATCCTCCATAGACTCTACAAGAGCCAGTTGCAGCATCTCCTCGTCCGATAATTTCAACTTGGATGACGGTCATGGCGACAGTGAGGATCAAGATAAATCAGAAGAAGCTGATGATGCTGCTGATGATGATGCTGATACTGATAATGCTGGTAATGGCAACGATAACGACGATGACGATGTTGTTTATGACGGTGATGATGACGACGGCCATGGTTATGATGATGTCAGGGGTACCTCATGGCATGACGATTCTTCCATGTAGCTGTCTCTTCCACAAGTAGTCAACCCCAATGCTCCGTATCATTGTCTAGACCCTACCTATAGTCTCCATTGTAGCTCCTTTTTGGGGTTACCTTTTGGGATCCTTAATATAGATTTGGTTAAACCAAAAAAAAAAAGAACTACAATGGAGACTATAGTCTATAGGTACTGTTTAGAGAGTGATTGTGCTTCTTCTGCTGCTCCTCGAGGCGACTACGACGCTCAAGCCCAAGGCTTCAGGCTACTCCTACGTGCCTTACCCCACCCACTACCCCAGCACGCCTCCTAGCATTATCGCAAATCCTGCTAAGAAATACCTATGTGACCCCGAGACGCAGCGGCTTCACGCTGGAAGAGGTCAGTAGCCCCCCTCCCCAAAACCCAAAAGGCCAAGAAGGCCCGAAAACTAAATGAAGGGAGGTTTAGGGGCCCTGTAACCTAACTATTCAGGCTTCTAAATAACTCTCGAGCCTTCTCAACACTGCTCCTAGGGCCAAGCTGCGGGATGACTTTGTAGCTGTAGGTGGTCGCCTATTTGGATCTTTGGGGCTTTAGGGTTCAAGTTTAGGTTTCTAGGGTTTAGGGTTTCTGGATTCTAAAGCTTTCGGACTTTTTGGGTCTAGCGTTTACGATTTAGGGCTTTTGAGGGTCTCGTGGTCAGCGACAAAGGTGTCAAAGTTCAGCAGCGAGGAACAACAAGCATGCATGTCGACTCCTTGTTTGTCACTTGACAGGTCATTGTTCCACAAACCTTGAACCCTGAACGCCTAAAAGCCTCAACAGCTCCTGACATCTTGCAGCCTGGAATGATGAGTAAGAACCCACAGTTCCATAACCACGTGTTGGGATTGGGACCTCTGGTTTAGGGTTGGGCTGGGAAGATCTTCCACCATCGCTGATGTCTACGAAGGGTACAAGCACAAGCGGGCTGCTATAGTTCTGAAGCAAAGGTACTGCGACGACTCAGGGTAAGACTGTCGTTCATGCCATTGCTGCGGTCGTAGATGTTGGTTTAAACCGAAGCTGAACCCAAACCATGATCGCATAAGAACAGACATAGGGGCTCAGTATCCTAGCCCTATATAAGAGGTAGGGTTTAGGGTTTAGAGTTTAGGGGGTGAGTTTCTGGCTGGTTACATATATATATATATATAACCAATCAATATATATATATATCATATATTATATATACCCCAAAATGGTTAAAGGCTACCTACTCAGCACCTAACAACACTGCTTTTGGTTGCCCTTGTCTTCCCCAACCTGACCAGCTCAAGGTGCCTGAGAGGATTGCTCACAAGTGAGACTTCTCTGGAAGCTACGGTTGATGATATAAATCCTGCATTACCCATAATAAGGAATATACCATAATTCCCATGATTCGTCTAGGGTCCTTAAGGTAATGCAGGATTTATATCATCAACCGTACCACCTCTGCTGCAAACAAGGAAACTAAACACAACACACTCCAGAACAAATTCCCTCAGCCGAGGGCACCTATAAGCACTACCCTAACTCGAAACCCCAAAACCCCAAGCCCAAGTGACCAAAGCCCGAAACTCTGTTGATAAACGCTAAATGTAGATCTAACCCACAGCTCTACACCCCAGCGATCTCGTGCGCCTCGGCGTAGAAGAGGTGAGGATAGAGCGCGCTGGTGACGGAGCCGCACATAAAACCGATCCTTGGGTTAGCACGGCGTGTGGGTTGTATGAATGCTTAAATCAGGCTGTTAAACATTTGGAAACAGGATTTTGGTCTGACTTTGGGGGGGTTCAGAGTAGCCAAGAAACTCTCTCTCTCTCTCTCTCTCTCTCTCTATGTATATATATATATTCTATCTTCGGGACATTTCGCTCTTTAGAATTCATGGGAGGCTCAAAAGAAGCCTGGATTGTAAACGCCCTGAGCCTCCATTCCCTCAGCAGTCCGTCCCAGAGCCTCCAGAACCCCTTAGTGCAGACTCCTTTAGGGTTTAGGATTTAGGCTTTAGGGCTTCGGGTTTAGGGCTTAGGGTTTAGGTCTTGGGATCCTCATTATGATTTAAGGCATGTTACGGGGTTTTGACTGGTCTTAGAGTCTTTTGAACAAGGGGTTCGTCACTACTCGAATTGTCCTTGCTCTGCCAAGCACCTTCAACCAAGACTAAACCTATCTTGGGGCCTTGCAAAACCCAGGCTCTTGCACCATAGCTTTATAATAAGCAATCAAACAAATCACTACAAAGCCTTGAAGAAGCCACCTTAAGAGCCAGAAACCCAAAGCAGACACCCGACCGACACTGGAATCTCAAAATTTCCGCCGCAAGTCAGCTGAAGCATAGCCTGGTACTTGGCGTTGTTCTCCTTGCGCCCAGCAAGACGTGTTGCCAAGACAGGTAGAGACACAGCAAGAACGACAAAGCCTTAAACCCTAAACCTTAAACTCTTAAACCCTCAGGACAAAATATGGAGAGAGCGAGAGCGTCAGACAGAGAGAGAGAGTCTGAACATCTGCGCAGCGTTTGTTTGCGTCTCCAGGTGTGTGTGTGTGTGTGTGCGTGTGCGTGTGTGCATACATATA